GCTACTCACAGACTTCCGCTCGAGCGGCTAACCTCCCGCTCGAGCGCAGAATGCACTCGTCCAGCATTTTTGCAGAACCAGGCCTCCGCTCGAGCTCCCAATCCCTACGCTCGAGCTCACAACACTGCACAACAAGATACTGGATGGGTGTAATCTACGCTCGAGCGCCAACACCTCCGCTCGAGCGTACAGGCCAAAAATCTGGGCAACTAGTTTTGGTTTCTAAACTCAACCAACCTGTAACGAACCCGCTCAACACATCCTATAACTCAAATACAAAGTAAGAAAGGATGCAAACAAGATAATAAACAACTACCAACATCCACGAACACATGTCCGGATCACTATACAACAAGGGTAAACCCGGGATCGCTATAGTACGGGACTACCCCTTGCAATCGTTACTTTGGCCGGAAGTATGAGGGGAGTAAATGACATTCATGAGTGGAGAAATACGTTAAATCAATTGATAAGCTCAACAAAACAGATCAGTGACATTGAAAATGTAGTGTTTGAGCTACTAAAGTTTTGTTATAGTCGCCTAAAAGATGAAAAGCTCCAATACTGTTTCTTGTGTTGTGCATTGTATCCACGAGATCATATCATCCCTAGGAAAGAGCTGATAGAGTATTGGATATCTGAGGGACTAATAGCTGAGGCGAACAGTATAGAAGCAATGTTCAACACTGGTCATGCTATATTGAATAAACTCGTAAATATCTGCTTGCTGGAGAGTGCGAAGATACACAGGACAGAATGTGTGAGGATGCATGATTTGATCAGAGATATGGCTCTCAAAATAACAAAAACGAGTCCTAGATTCATGGAACAATCTGGTGAGGGATTAGAAAGAGTATCATATACAAACTGGTCTGAGGAAGTTGAGACGGTTTCCTTAATGTATAACACGATAAAAGAACTTACTTTTAAACCACCCATTTGCCATTGGCTCACAACCTTACTATTGGGACATATTCCATTAAGAAAGATTTCAGATTCTTTCTTTACTCCTATGCAACGTCTTAAGATACTGGATTTGTCCAACACCTACATACAGTATCTGCCAGAGTCCATCTCCAACTTAGTGAATTTACATGCACTTTTACTAGTGAATTGTGTGTGCTTAGAGTATGTGCCATCACTGGTGAAGCTGAAGGCATTAAAAGAGTTCAAACTGAATAGAAGTCTGATTGGAGAAGTACCCCAAGGTATGGAAGAATTGGTTAATCTTAGAAATCTCGACCTCTCCTTCAATAAAAGCCTACATATGCTTCCTTGCTGGAACTTATGCAGACTCTCCCAACATCAAATCCTTAGAATTGAAGGGTCAGGAGCTTTGGTGTCAGCACAAGAGGTCTTTGGCTACTTGACGCAATTAAAAGTTCTTGGTGCTCAGTTTCTCAATGTACAGGAGCTTACCAGTTATGTGACATCTCAACAATGCCAAACCTTGGAAAACTACCGCCTTATAGTGGGAAATAATTTTGAATATATAAACAACTCTGTGGGGAAAGAAGTTCATGCGATCGGTTTTGACTCTAAACCTTTTGGGAGTGGAGTTGATTCATTGGTGCTTCCCAGCAACATAGAATACTTTGGGATTACAAGATGCGAGGATCTCATTAGCTTATCAGATATTCTGTCCTTGAGGGATGCCGGTCATTTGAGAATTTGTCTTGTCCAATACTGTAATGGGATAGAATCCATCTTTTCATCATCATCCTTCTCAGAAGATTGCCAGATCCCACTAAGAATTGTTGAGGAATTACGACTTCTTGATTTACCCAGATTTAGGGTACTCTTTGATGGAGTTGTTCCACCACGCAACATTTCATTTAACCTTAAGAAGTTGTACTTCTATAGATGTTCCAGTGTTAAGAATATTTTTCCTGCCATGTTGCAGAACTTCCCTAACCTTGAGGAACTAACCGTATCTGATTGTGAGAATGTTGAAGAAATAATAGTAGAAGTAGAGATGAGATATCAGAGCCATCATCAAGATGATAGCAACATAATCACACTCCGAAATTTGAAGAGTTTACGGCTAGGAAAGATACCAATACTGAAGAACATATATAAGGGCATAATGGTTTGTGAATCTCTGCAAGATATTCTTGTACATAGTTGTCCCATATTAAGGAGACTGCCTCTTTCTTTCCACGTGAATAGTGGGCATGCATCAGCACCTCCCGGTCAGCACGTTAGGGGAGATGAAGAGTGTTGGGAATATCTGCAATGGGATGATCCCCACACCAAAACCACTCTGCAGCCTTTGTTTGTTCCATTTCACAAGGTAAATATCATTATATCGTGTCAGATTAAAAATTTGGCAAACTATATTCAAATCAATCCTTGACAAAGGCCATACCTTCTGAGAGAGGTAGCTAGTTTTAATAAATTTCATTGGGGAGTACTTTTTTATTATTATTTATAATCATGTAGTATTCGTTGTTTAATGTTGCACTAAGAATTTTGTGAACTCTTTGGCTTGTGGTTTTGGATTCTTTTAACTGCAATAAAGGAGGTAAGTGACCTTCCACCACATCCAGTAACTTTTTTATATATGTACAATCTGTTTGAAAAACGTTGATGAAATCCTCACTTCGTTATTATGAAAATAAAATGTTCTATTACTTTCTTGTGTTTATGTTAAATGATCAGGATCAAATATAAGAATTGCCCACTTTGAAGCTATCAAAGTTGAGAGGGTAATTTATGTGAAAATTGGGCCGAGCTAGGTAATGGGCCGCTATGAGCCGCAGTACAAAGGGCCGAGTGAAATGGCCATGTAAGTTACTCCGGTCGTGTGGATATTTTGAAGTTAGTTCGGTCCTAAGGCCGTGAAGCTAGTCCGGTCCAACAGAAGATCGAAGTTAGATCGGTCTAACGGTACTTCAGAGTTAGACCGGTCTTGGAATTACACCAATCATGACGTGTTAGTTCGGTCTAACCACGCCATGAGTTGTGCATGAGAAGCTGACGTAAGAGTAGTAAAAGGAAGAGCTAGTTCGGCTTATTCTACGGCTATGCATAGTCAGGTTTACTTCGGTCATGTTGGAGTTCGGTCATTGTAAAAACCATCTCACTTGGTTTAAGCAATCAGGGGGTGTTGAAGGATAAGCATTATCTTTCAGGAGTATGAATCTTAGGAGGACTCTGCATGGAGAAGTAGAAGTCCTACTAGGATTGTGCCACCAGAAACCTATAAAAGCTCACAAACATCACCTTTGGAGAGGTAACACACAACTTTGATTCGTTAATGCACAGAGCTTTTTGTCTTTGTCTATTTTGCTGACTTAGGCATCGGAGAGGTATCCGGCACACACCCGTCGGCTAACTCACGTTTGTGTTTTCAGGGAGTAAAGCGACGATGTACGGAGGAGCGCAAACTTGATCAACAGGATTATACGGGAAGAATATTTCGTGCCCGTACAAAAATCATTTGTGATTAACTGTTTTATTGCTATCAAAATGTTTTATAAAGCTCATTGTGGTTTCATAAATTTTTCATGAGCATGGATGTAGTTTGACTATGGTTTGTACACTAAGCCAATGCGGTTCAGTGTTGGCACATAAACTAATTTCTTTTAGGCTTGAACTATGAAGCACGGGTACGGGTACTGGTATTGGTACGATATGAGTATGTCGATATGGTAAAATTCAAAAAAAATAAGTTACGGGTACGGCTTGATACGCTTTGTAAAAAAATATTTATTTTTAATTTAGAGTAATGCAAAAATTAATCAAATAGTTTAATTTGTTAAGGTTCAACCTACAATTAACATTTAATGTCAAAAGTAGAAATATAAATCAAAAATAAATGTCAATATATTAAATAACTTACAAACCATAATTTAATTTTAAAATTATGCTAAGTATAAAACAAAAAATAGAAAAGAAGTCTAGTGAAAGGAGTTTTATTTCTGTAATAGAAGAAAATATTGTTTCAACTGAGGTACGTTACGGCTTGGGTATATATTAGGTACGTTTGGATACGTCAAAAATTAATAAGAAAAAACTTGAATCTGTATTTCGTGTACCCGGTACGTATACAGAAGTACCATACGCCGGCAAGTATCCGGTACGGATACGACATGTTTTTACCCATGCTTCATAGGGCTTTAACCACATAGTTGAATGTGATTTTCGGCCTTGTCACGAGCCAATGTAGCTGTACTCACTAAAATTTGAATTTGTGTATTGAACCATTGAGTTTTGGATTGTCTGTATTAAGTTATTTATTGTTGAGACATTGAACGGTGAACCCTATGAGTATTTGAACTGTATGATTATTGAATTTACCTTATTGGAATTGTTTTACTTAAATGACAACTGAATTGCATGATTTCCCCCCTCCCCCCAAAAAAAATATATATATAAAATAAAATAACTATGCTGCAGACCCTCAGTGGGGGTCGCACCCCCAGTGAGGTGGCGAGCCCCCACCGGCTGAAACTCAAAAAAAATTAAATAAAATAAAATAAAACAGTTTTTTTTTTTTGTCCAATCACGGCACGTCATCTCATTGGGGGTCGACCCCAGTGGGGGTCCGAAGCATTTTTCAAAATAAAATAAAAAAATCACTTTTCATTTCTATCAAAAGGTTCATATAAAATCATTACGTATTGAAATACATAATTGACTTATATTTGATATGATTAGTTGTGGTAGATAGTTACTTACTTCTTCTGTATCACATTTCATTTCTATCGAAAGGTTTATATAAAATCACTACTTAGACACACCTAACATAAATACACCTAAAAAGTAAAAAAATTATAAAAAAAATCTTTTAAAAATTCAATAAATACCAAAAATATAAAAAAATACAATAATTCAGTACATTTTTTTGTATTTCTATGTATTTATTAATTTTTTAAAATATTTTTTCACAATTTTTTTACTTTTTAGATACATCTAACTAAGGTGTATCTAAAAAAGTAAAAAAAATGTTTAAAATTTAAAAAATATTCACTAAAAACAAAAGAATACGAAAACTAAAAAATTCAATTTTTAAAAAAATTAATCCAGAAAACTCAAATCAAACACACTGATTGATTGGTTTTTTTTTTCATAATTGCCATTATTATGGAATGAAATTGGGTTGGTTTTCCTTTAGCTTTGCAAGCTCTAAGGGTGAAGTCTTGTTAGTGTGTGGCGTTGCCACTCGCCTAGTTTGGTTGACAGTTGTTCTAAAGAATAGTCTTTGTTTGTGCTAAAAAATTTCATGCATCTTCATAGTTGTCAATTCGAATATACATTCCTCTTTATGCATTTCATCTCATCATTTGTATCTCTGTTGTCTGTATTAACTATATTTGTGTAGTGATTTTGTGAGTGTTTGGAAAGTGACTATTTTAATAGACTATTTTAATTTTTAACTATTTTAGCCTGTGTTTGGGAAGGTAAGTTGGGGCTAAATTAGCCACATCCGGACAAAAAAGGCTGATTTAGCCAAGTGGAGACAAAACAAAAATCACGTTTGGGTTCAAACACTTATTGGGGTAAATTTACCAAAATACCCTGACTGTCCCCTCTGAGTATGAGGTACTGTAAATTCTATAAATTCTACACACGCTCAGCCTCCCTTTATTGTACTGTCACTCTCCAAAAACAAACGAAAGTACAATGATGTCATACATGTACATAGTGCTATAATTTTTAGACCTAAAATTTTAAAAATTATTTAAAATATTATATTTATGATTTAAATTTAAAAAATATTTGAAATAATTTAAATAAATATGTTTTTAAATTTTTTATAAAAAATAAAAAAAATGACATAATTAAAATAATAAAATAATAAAAATATACTAAAATAAGAAAAGTCAAATAATACCTTATTTTATAGGGGTATTTTTTTTAAGGTCCCTGATATTATGATTTTATAGTATAAAGGACATCAACTATTTTCATGATGTCTAAGGTCCCTCAACATCAATCTAGAAAATTTCAGTCCAGAGAAAATTTAATCTAGAGAAATTCTCTGATCCAAAACCAGAGAAAATTCAATTTAGAAAAATTCAATTCTGTCTAAAATTTACCTCTCATTCTAGCCAAAATAAGGTGTACAGTTCTAGAAACCATAATCCATGAGAGATAGAAAATCTTCCTATGGAGGTTAGTCTCAACAAAAATCCAAATAGACTCCTCTGAATGTCCCTTCTGCGAAGCAGAACCTGAATCTGCAGTCCATCTATTCTTTTTATGCAAACCCATCAAGATGATTTGGTTTGCCAAGTTGGGTATTAGGACAGATGATTTCTCCCATCTATCATTCTCAGATTGGATCAACCATATTCTCACTCCATCCTTGTCCTTGATATTTGGAGTTTCTCCTCCAAGCAAGTCAGATTTTGTGCTTTTTGCAGTAATTCTCATGGAAAAAACTTGGCTTTGGAGAAACAGAGCCATCTTTTGCTGTCCAAAGGTTGAACCAGTGAAATTTCAAAATTTCCCTGGACACATGAGAAATTTCAAAATTTCTCTGGACTCCCCAAATCCAAAAAAATTCTCAGACAAACATTTCCAGAGATTCTCCCACCCAGAGAATTTCTCTAGACTCCACAACTCAGAGAAAATTCCTAGCCAGAGAAATTCTCTCAACACAAAGAATTTCTTTGGGCATGACCAGATGCAATAGCTGAGTTGACCAGATGCTCCAAATGCTTCATAGAATTTCTCTAGACTTCCCACTTAGAAATTCTCTTCAAATTTCTCTAGTTTGTAAATTTCTTTAGTTTTCCCTCAGAGAAATTTCTAGAATTTCTCTAGATTCCAAACCAGAGAAAAACACCATATTCCAAACAAAGAAGAGAAACATAGTTTTAAAAAAAAAAAAAACAGAGGATTTCTTTAGCTTCTTCATCTAACAATGGCTGAAAACTCTTCTTCTCTCAAGTAACTCTGTTGCCTCGCAATAAAATCCTGCACTTGAGGCAAGGGCCAATAGGAATGGATGGGGTGGGAGATTCTGTTGCCTCACGATTTTCAAAACAAATTCAGTCAAAACAACACAAGAGGTATCATTAGTGAAAAGAGCACTGGAAATGGCAGAAATAAGGTAGATTCAACAAAGCAAGTCCTTAGCTCCCCAACTCTTTCAGGTGAGCAATTTACCCAAGTATTTAAACATGTCTGCCCATTCAAGATACACACTAACAACCATTGTTCCAAAGAGAAGACCAAGGATTGGAAGATCAATGGGCAACATATGCTTGCTCTGGTGTTATAACTTGGAAAAGTAGACGACAATCTTCTCACCTCCGATACAACTGCTGTCATCGTAGAAATCTATACAATCTCTTGGATTAGAGACAACCTCGTCGGAACGGTTCGCGTTCTCATCACCAACCTGCTCTAGGTCCGCGCTTCCAGCTCTCTGCGTGTGTGTGTATCTGGACAGGTCTGAGAATGGAGAAGTTTAGAGAGAGAGAGAGAGATGAGTTTTGATCGGGTAAGGTCAAATTTCTCTGTGATATGTTTAGGGATCTTAGACATCAAAAAATAATTTTGTGGATCTCTTCCATTGCAAAAAATAGGAGAGGGACCCTAGACCAATTTTTCCTATTTTATATGTGAATTCTATATTACATTAATTTAATTCGTATTTCACAATACACTGTAAAAAAATCTAAATAACATATGAAAAACCATTTGTGAAAACTAAAAAC